TTCTTCTTCTTCTTCTTCTTCTTCTTCTTCTTCTTCTTCTTCTTCTTCTTCTTCTTTTTTTTTTTTTTTGGTGGAACCGGGGATTGAACTCAGGTCCTTGCCCTTGCCAGGAAAGTGGTTATTCTACTGAGCCATTTCCCCTGCCCCATAGGTCAGAGTTTCCATGATGGAAATGGAAAAGTATTTTATAGAGGCTTGGAGAAGACCTGTGATGAGTTTATGTTGGGGTAGAGACCTAAAGAAAGAGGAAGCAGGACCTGTGATTCCCACAATGAGAACACTTCATGTAGAAGGAACACCAAGCAAAGCCCTGGGGCAGAGTGTGCCTGCTGTACTCTTTAAATACTTAAGACAATGGGCTCCAGTGAGTGAAGTGGGGAGTAGTAGGCTGTGAAGGCAGGAACATCAAGATAGAGCAACACACAGATGGTGGGGGTCATCCTAGGCCTCTGGTCCTATCCAAGATGAGAGGCCATTAGAAATGCTTGCACAAAGGTATACATATGGATATGAACAATGGTGAAGTCAATTCAGAGGCTGTTTCTTTAGGCTATAAGTGATGATGTCTTTGGTTAGCACTGAAGTAAATGCAAGAAGTGGTCACCTCCTTAAAGGCTTTTCATGGTAGAAACAACTCAATTTGCTAGTGAATATGATGCAAGCTGTCAGAAAACAAAGAGGGTTCAAGGATGACTTCCAAGTAATGAAGGCATGGGGTCCTGATACCTAATACAGGAAATCTGTGAAAATAAGTTGGGAGAGCAAGAACAGAAATCTGGCTTTCTACTTGTGCATGAGAATCTACCAGCTATAGCAGTGAAGATGCTGCAAACAGTCTTACTGCAAGTCTTGACATCAGAGGTCAGACGAGAGAAGAGGTCACTTTATCAATACCTAAAGCCAAACGATCAGAAGGCAACCAACTCATTAGTGATCGGAAGGGGAAAATTTTAATAACGGAGGCTTGGGAATATGAAATATAGAGAAACTATGGAAAGAAGGAAGATCCAGGGAAAAAGACCAAAAACAAGCAGTGGAAAAGATGCATGATCTGTAATGCGCTATTTTTTTCTTAAGCAGTAATGATTGACTGATGAATGCTACTACTGGGTACAGTGACTGAGGAATTTGAGTCAACCCATGAATTCAACCGAGTGGAGATCATTGGTAACATTGACAAGAATTTTATGGTTAGTTGAAGGTCTTAAATTAAAAATTGGACAGAAATTGAGGTAAAAAGTCTTACTGTTAAAAAAAGACAGAATAAATAGTGCAGGGAGAGAGTGATACAGAGAAGGATGTTTTAAAGAGTAGCGAGAGCGAGCCCTTGCTTCATGTACTTATATGAATTGAGATGATGCAATAGAGAAAGGGAGCAGTCGCTGAAGGATTGACATTGAGGGGGTGAAGAATCTCCCTGGCTATCCAGCACTGGACAGAGCTTAGAAGTGTGAACACGCCACACAGGCAAAGGAGGCGCACAGCTTTTCTCCTTTTCATTAATAAACATTTGTAATACATAACTTCACTCATCTTGGGGAGCTGGTGCATAGAGAAATCACAACTCATTCATTTTCCCTTCCTGACGGCCACTTCCTTCCTGTCTCTCCCCATCTCAGCAGCCCCTTCCATCCCCACAAAGAGTTCCTGCTGATAGTAATGTGTACATGACAGGGGACAAAGTCAGAGATTCTTCCGATGGCTTTGCTTTTCATATCCTTAGCATAACAGTTCTCTGAGGAACTGTGAAACTTAGAGGCTGGGTAGAATATGTATGCTTGTAAGTTGCCAACGGACTAGAAAGACTGTGGTCCTGTTATGGGGCCACGTAGACAACGTCAAGGGTTGCGTGTGGGGACCAAAGTGCCAAATGTTGTTGACAAGATAAGTAAGTTAAGGAGCTAGAATTGCCATTGAATATAAGAAAGGCCAAATCAGTGGAGAAATTAGTGAGCTATTTAGGTAGAATGACGAAAACCAGTGTGACAGTGCTGTCCCAGGATGAGTCTGACGTAAGTAAGTTGCCACAAGACGTCCAGGCAAGATGTCAAGCTGCCAAAGACTGGCACAGAAAGGGACAGGGAATGCATGGGATGTAGGATTGAATGTAGGGTTCTCTAAAGGGATCCTTGGAGCCCACTTAGATACCTGAAGGCCTCCTCCTTAAGATATAAATAGCTTCAGTCTCCAGGAATACTCAGTAGAGGCTGAGAACTAGAGAAGGACACAGGATGTCCAATGCAGAGATAGTGGCTGTGTGGACAGTGGAACACCTTGTAGCACCACAAGAAAACACAGACACACAGGGAGGTGTGCCCCACGCCTTTGTGTATTAGTGTTTTTCCTTTCATATTACTTGGAGAAAATTCTGCCTCACTAGGATACTTACCTCACCTTTTTTTTATATGTTATATACATTTCTGAAGTTTTCTGTGCCCTTTAGTTTTATGAATAAGTGGTTCTTACATATACAAAAGTTCAATCTTTTTGTTTTATTTATCAAGTGTTCCTTTTTGGGTTTTATGTGTAGTTACCTACACAGCAAAGA